ATATAGGCCTGTAGTCTTTTGTTTTGATAGCAAATTTAATACCGCAGCATAAGTTTTACTCATGTATTCTGTATACCGTTTATACAGACACGTTAATCTCTAACGAATGCAAGGCCTTGTATTGTATTTATAAAAATTCACACTATTTCCGACGTTAACCAGGATCCTGACAGTGAAGAATAACTTGTTGTCGTATTGTCGTGATTTCTTTTACAATGAGCACGGAATTTTTCTTTCTTTGTACAAGGACACACATCCAACCTTAAAAAAAAATTGTTAAGCTGTAACTACCGCAGATTAAGCAAATTAGAGTATTTTATTGCCTTGTCCACAAATCCATTTGCGTCACGGGTGAACAATAAAATTTAAAGCACATTTCTCGTATTGTTGTGGATGGATCAACATTGTTCACGAAATTGTAAACGAATTGACCCATCGGCATTATAGTGATTTAACGAAAGCAGACACTCTGAATTCATACGTTAATGATTTTTTATGAAGTTGTCCACGTTAAGATGTACCACAGTAATGTAGAGCTGAAACAACAATTATACAACTGAAAAACATCAAAATTTTAAGAAAATCTGACGCTAATGAATACTTTTTGAGAGTGTCTACAGTGTGGTCAGAATAACACCAATTTCTGGAAATAATCATTAGCCAAAGACCAGTTGGCAGGCAATAAATGTGACAGACTAGACATGCGGTACGGGAGAGGATAAATGTGCTCTAAAAACTGAACAAGAATTACTAAGGATGGATACTTACGGAACAGAATCCTACGTTTGTAATTATTCACTGACTGAAATATTTTACTATCAACTTGAAACAAAAGATAAATATGACTACAATATAATTGTTTATTACATCTGTGCCTCGTTCGCAATACTGTTTAATTTCACTGTAATTCTTCAATTGATATTTGAAAAGAAATTAAAAAAGCGTCATCATATTTTCACAGGATCGTTGGCTTTCGCCGATGGATTGTTTGCCATATGTATTCTGATCGCAGTCGCCAGTAAAAATGTTAAACCCGCAACTCGGGAGGTGATGACCACGATCGCTTTATCGGCTGTGACAATCTCACTTCTAACTTTGGTAGCAATTGCAATCGAAAGACTCTTCGTCATAGTTTTGTTTCCATTTAATAAGAATGTGAATTCACCAAAGAAACTTTTTGGTGTGGTATCGTTCATTTGGATTTGTTCTTTTTTATTCTTAGGGTCCATGCGCTACTTCGGATATGATAATGAAATAAGTAATATTTTTACTATTGTTAACTTGTCGATCATTCTCGCTCTCCATGCTATATACTTGATGATATACAAGAGCGTTGCTAGACATGAAAGAGATTTAGCTTCATCTGGATCACGCGCGGTTCAGGTATCCAAGAGGCTCCTCAAGACATTTTCAATTATTATCGGCTCGTGCGCCATTTGCTGGCTACCGAGTGATATTATTATCATCTTGGACATATTCTTGGATTTAAGTTGCAAGAGAAAAAATTACACTTATGCCTACGCTATCGGATTTAATTTGTCTCTTGCATACGCTATGATTAATCCGTTGGTGTATGGCTGGAGATTTAAGGAGATGCGTCAGTGTATATTCAAGCGGATAAAATCTTTTTACAGCAAAAAAGCCGAAACAGTAAAGACGAACAGAAGTAGGCCTAATGACTGAGAATTTCAGGACGATTATAAGAATCTTACTTGAGCATTAATAAAATTGTTGTTGCTGTTGTTGCTGTTCATATTGTAAAGGCCTACCATTATAACCCATAATGCAGCATGGTAATTGAAATGTGATCTATCTGTACATGTATATTGCATAATGTAGAATGTTTTGATTTTGAATAACATGGTTGCCATAGTGATTCTGCATTTATGCCTACTATTGTATATATTAGGGACGTATCCAGTGGGGGGAGCCGCGGCTCCCCCTCCCCCCATTTTCTACACAGTGTTAAAATGTTTAAAGCATACAAAGAATACAAATTCTTTCCTGGGATCTCGCAAAATAAATACTTCTAAAACATGTAAATAGGCCTATGCATCAGTACACGTTATACATATATGCCATAAAACACATATGCCTAAGCGTGAATTCAAAAAAAATTTAATTCATAAATCTCAGGCCAGGTCTTTTAAGATATAGAAATGTGATACTGTATGGTTCAGTTTGGTTTTTATCCTTTTGCAAGCTTCTTTAAAGTTTTGTTTAAATAATATTACTACTAATAGTAATACTGATGATGATGATGATGATGATGATGTTGATGATGATGTTGATGATGATGATGATGATGATGGTGATGATGATGGTGATGATGATGATGATGATGATGATGATGATGATGATGATGATGATGATGATGATGATGATGGTGGTGGTGGTGGATAAAAATAATGAGGCAAAACTACGGTACTCCTATTCCTTAACTAATTAATGGTTGGC